CCAACTCTGATAGATAGTCCATTTTATAAAAAATTACACATGAATGAGAAATTCTCTTTTAATATAATAGATTTTTCAGAATGGTGGGGTTATCTAGCAAACTCGTGATTTCACCCAAAAGGAAAAAGGAAAAAGAAACGTATAAAGTCGCGAAATCTTGCCAGAGCGTAATGTCAAGACTTGGGTTACTTGACAATGAGCTCATTAATGGGGATCCCCTCATTCATGTATTCGTATTAACTAAACATTTCATTTGGAGTGGCCCAATTGACAATAAAATAATGGATCAGGTAAGAATTCGCTATGTGACTATAAGGCTCAATTATCCAAAACTACAAGGCTTAAATACCCAATGCAACCCCTTTGCATGTACATATAGTTTGGATGGGTCTATGTGAAGACTTATTTGAGAGTTGCTGCAGATCCAAATTGGATGTACCAGTTGAATACTTGAATGCGAGTAAAAGCATAATGCAATTCGAATTTTCCAGACTTATACGTCACATACACCTCGCTCATGTATTATGAGTTCTTGATGACTAGCAAAAAAATTGTAGGGCTGTAGAATTTGTTAAGTTTTCATAATATTATTTAACCAATTAAATTCGTAAATAACGATAAACTAAATTAAAAACATATATAAGAAATATTCCATCACAAAGCTATAATCAAATTATTATTATGTATATTAATAATCACAAATTCACAACTAATCATCTTCCTGTATATATTTATACTAAATCAAAATCCTTACTCAACATATATCTTCAGAATTCGACACAACTGATTTACTGTTACAAAAGGAATAGAAAACAAACTAAACATGTGATGATAGTTTAATGTTGGCACATGCATTAGAATGCTTAGTTAGGTGAAGCACGTTGTAGAATACCATTAAGTTGGTAAACCGTTTCCAGTCCCCGATCGCTTTTGGGTTAAATGAGTCCATATTGTGCCTATTCGGTTGAGCATGAAATAGACATCCAAAAAAGTATTATCTTCAGTATCTTTTCATTAATGGTTTAGTGTTCCACTAGCTAGTAATTTTTTAAAAGATTAACGATTTAATATGTTCATTTTTTTGCATAAAAAGATGTTATCATTCTCGGCCCGCAATTTTTTCCTATTTTACGGTTACATTCCAAATTTATATAGCATAATAATACTTAAGGATATGGAAATGTAGTAGTAGTTTTCCTCAATGATATAACATAGTGAACATATCCATGTTTTTTTTTTTGTAACTCGCATTAGCATGTCCATGTGTTTTTGTTTGTGAACATATGTTCATATTAAGTTTCAAAATAAAAAAAACATATGTCCATGTTGTTGAGTTTACAAAAGTTAAAACATTTGCCCTAAGATTATGACATGCGTGTTTAAGTTGTAAAAAACAATTTTAGAAGTTTGAGATGGGCAGACATAAGTTCCTGTGACAGAAATTTCGTTAAATTGGGGTAAGAAAATAAACTTGTTTTCTTTTGTAACTGAATAAAGAGCATAAACTTGTTTGTCGGGTATTCAATTCATACGAGTAATAAAATTGTCACTTGTTTGGCTATATATGTAATGTGACACAGAACTATATCTTAAGCTAGAATAATAGTAATACCCTTTAAGCAAAAAGAAAAAACACACACACTGATAATTTTTTTGTACTTCCAACTTAAAACCAATTGGCAATTAATGAATTGATCTAAGTCTCTTATATATTACTTACGTCCCTTATATATATTCGATGTGAGATCTTTATCCAGACACACTAAGCCTCCTCTATAAATATAGAGTTAGGCAATTCACTGGTATTTTGATCGAAAAACCCACAATTATAAAAGAAATAGACTGATTTATATAATAGAGTATTTTTCCTGTGAACAACGAAAAAAAGAGTTATACAGTAGAATGCATTTTGGATTATTATTTTTTGACATAGAATGTAGTTTGGAATCAAAATACACATGTATAAAATACATATATTTATAAGAAATAATAAGAAGGTTAATTACTTTTTTTTTTGAACACAGGGTAAATACTTCAATATTTATACAAATTAGTTATAAAAAATTTCCGGGGAAAAAAAGAAGGAAAAGGGTTAGTGGGCTACGAAGCCCAAAAGCTAAAACCCTGACTGTGTTCTTCCTCCTCTGCGCCGCTTTCTCACTCTTTGTTGGTTCCTTCTCCGATCTTCCTCGCGTGGTCTCCTCTTCGATGTAAGTTATTTTTCTCTCATTCCCTTGCTCGTGTCGATCTAAAAAATCGCTTTAGTTAGGAATCAAGCAAAAGAGATGAGCTAAGTCTTCCATTTCTATTTGCACAATCATTTACCTAATTTAGTCGAGAGGGATTCGATCCCAGATTCTTTAGATTTGGTAATCGAAATTGATTGTGAATGTTTTAGGTTCCGTCGAATCTATCAAAACCAATCTGCGCTTAGTTTGGTTTAATATGTTGTGTCGATTTTCACGGTCTCTATTATAATGTTATTACATTACCACCAAACATGTCTGAATGTCTTAAAAATTATGTTCTTTGCTTCAATTGCATCATATCATTGTAACACACAATCTATAAATTAGTCTCCTCTGTTTTTAGTTTATTAGAAAATATACAAGTTTAGAGCTAATTGTATTACAGTTATCACTGCTGTTATAAGTTAATAAGGTATCAGTTTATTGCTGTGTGATGTGTTTAAATAATTGTGTTTTTCTCTTTACTATTACTACAGAAGCAATGGCTGGAAAAGCTGCGGAAGCCGTGGCAAAGACAGTGACGGCGTTTCAGCATCCATGGAGGGCGAAGTTGGATAAGTACAGAACCGAGCTGACTAAAGGAGTGTGGGGTTACTGGGAGATGGGAGCGTGGAAGCCTTTAGGGATAAGCGCACGCAGAAGAGCGATGCTGAGGAAAGAAGTGTTGACTGCTGGTGAGGATTGGCCTTACGATCCAGAGAGGAAAGCGATGAGGACTAAGAGGAAAGGGCATAAGTGCGATAGAATCTCGGCTGAGAAGAGAGAGAACACTGCGAAGCTTATGCTGAAGATGCCTCAGATGTTGCTTGATTACAAGAAGAGAAGGTGGGAGAAGAAGATGAAGGAAGAGGAGAAAGCTAAAGAAGACAAGTGATTTGGTGAGATTGTGTCTCTATAGTCTTGGATGTTAAACGAAAAAATCTGATTCAAGTAGTAATAATCCGGTCTTTGATCGTATGGGATATGATGTTCCATAGATGGTGGAATGATTTTGTGTTATGTGTTTCTTTGCTCTTTTGTTGTCCTGTTTTGAATTGAAAACCAAACGTTGTTGAGGTTAGGATTGCATTTGTTGGATACAAGCTCAGACTAATCTTGACTGTAAAAATTGGTTTATGAACTAGTGAATACATCTGCAATTTCTAGGAGATATCGGTAGACCCAAAAGTTATGTACTAAGTGTTACTATATGAAACAAAAGGAAAACTTGTCAGTGATATTAGATTACAAAAAGTTTAGTGTTGTTTTAGAAATCTTTAACATTTTGGGAATTTATGTACAGTACAAAAGTTCATTAATAAAGATGAAATATTAGTGTTCAAAAAAAAAATATATTAAAGGTTTAGTCGAAAATAGATGTTTAAATATGGGTAAATGTCAAAAGAGAGTAACATATTTTTTTAACACAAAATTAATTTCTTATTCTTTTACTGAAATAGTTAATAACACGTTTTCAATATCCTAATATTAGTTTACATTAATTATCTAAAACGTAAAGATAATGTTGAATCTCATTAAATTAAGCAAAAAGTTCGTTGTGAATCCAAAAAATACATAATTAGTAAGATTTCTAGAATATATTAATATTAATTTCTAGAATTAAAATAAATCTATGAATAGAACATTTATCACATTGGGTATTAGAGAGGATTTGTTCGGCCAATGTTGACGACGTTTCTTTACCACACACGACCAAAAGTGACGGAAGCAATGATATACCAAGAAAGAATAAAAAGAAAATGCCGCCACCTAAAATTAAAATTAAAAAAAAAGGTGTCCAGGTTCAATGAACCTATTTTCACCTGTTTCTTTTATAATCCCACCTTCTTTCACACAGATCTCTCAAACAATCAAACAAAGAAACATAACAGAACAACACTTCGATCATACAAACCTTTTCCTTTTTGTTGTTTGTGAAATGGCACTAGCGATCAACGTTTCTTCTTCTTCTGCGATCTCATCCTCTAGCTTCCCTTCTTCAGACCTCAAAGGTAATTTTAGAGAATCATTATGAATTTAGGTTAGATTGGTTCAAAAATTCGAAACTAATTCGAACCCGGTTTTGTGTTTATTCCTTCAGTTTCAGCTCCACGGATCGGTTCGCTGAAGTTAACGGATCGTGTCAATGTCTCATCGGCGTCTATGAGTCTATCCGGGAAACGATCATCCGTGAAGCCTCTGAATGTTCAGTCAATTACAAAGGAATCAACGTTTCCTTCTCAAGCACCATCCATGGTTGCTTCTGGTACGTTCTGTTTAATTGTGATCTTGGTTTAATCTTTTCTTTGTTAATTAAGTTTATGCTAATTGCTAAATGATCTTGTGCTAAAAACAGAGGTGACAGAGAAACAAGATGTGGTGGAACTAGAAGACTTTGAGGAGCTAGCAAAGAGTCTAGAGACAGCTTCTCCTCTCGAAATCATGGACAAGGCTCTTGAGACATTCGGAAACGACATCGCAATCGCCTTTAGTGGAGCAGAAGACGTTGCTCTCATCGAGTACGCTCATCTCACAGGAAGACCCTTTAGAGTCTTCAGCTTAGACACCGGGAGATTGAATCCCGAAACTTACAGACTCTTCGACACCGTGGAGAAACACTACGGTATTAGAATCGAGTACATGTTTCCTGATTCCGTTGAGGTTCAAGCTCTTGTAAGAAACAAGGGGTTGTTCTCTTTCTACGAAGACGGTCACCAAGAGTGTTGCCGTATCAGGAAGGTGAGACCATTGAGGCGTGCGTTGAAAGGTTTACGCGCTTGGATTACTGGACAGAGGAAAGATCAGTCACCAGGGACAAGATCAGAGATCCCTGTTGTTCAAGTTGATCCAGTGTTTGAAGGGTTAGACGGTGGAGCTGGTAGCTTGGTGAAGTGGAATCCAGTTGCGAATGTGGAAGGGAGCGATGTTTGGAACTTCTTGAGGACTATGGATGTTCCTGTGAACACTCTTCACGCTGCGGGGTATGTTTCTATAGGGTGTGAGCCGTGTACGAGAGCGGTTTTGCCGGGGCAGCACGAGAGAGAAGGGAGATGGTGGTGGGAAGATGCTAAGGCTAAAGAGTGTGGACTTCACAAAGGGAATATCAAGGAGAGTAGCAACGGAAACGCAGCGGCTAGTGTCAATGGGACATCCACTGTTGCTGATATTTTCAAAAGTGAGAATGTTGTGAGCTTGAGTAGGCAAGGGATTGAGAATTTGATGAAGTTGGAGAATAGGAAAGAGGCTTGGATCGTTGTGCTTTATGCACCTTGGTGCCCGTTTTGTCAAGCCATGGAAGGTTCTTTTGATGAGTTGGCGGATAAGTTGGGTGGTAGTGGCGTGAAGGTTGCTAAGTTTAGAGCTGATGGTGACCAAAAGGAGTTTGCTAAAAGTGAGTTGCAGCTTGGGAGCTTCCCGACGATACTTGTGTTCCCAAAGAACTCTTCAAGACCAATCAAGTATCCATCTGAGAAGAGAGATGTTGATTCTTTGACATCGTTCCTAAATCTTGTTAGGTAAAAACAGCAAAATAATGTGTCGACTTTGCAAAACAAAACCATTCAGTCTAGTTCTAGAATGCTAGAACAGATGAAGAAGATCATGAGATTCTGTATTGAAAGCTTGTGTAGTTTGTTGCCAGTGTGCTGATAAGTTTTAACAAAACTTGTCATTTTGTAAACCTTTTTGCGTTTGTAATGATATGAGCAAGTTTGCCAAATTTGATTACTCTGATATGGAATTTGATTCAATAGCACAAGTTTAAAAGATGCAAAAGAAGGTATAAGGAATAAAGCAAAGATTTCTGAAAGATTATGAACCCAAATGTCAAAGATTCAAAAGCATGAAAAGCAAAGCCAAAGCCAGATGGAAAAAGGAAGGAATGTGCATCTTATCTTCCTCCCTTTTGTTTATGTACATCAAAGTCATGGAAAGATTTATTTATTCAAGCAACGGTGAAAGAACCAAAAGTGTTCTCTCCGCTGTAAGTCATGTAGAGGAATCCATCTTCATCTTTGTGTTCTTCATAGATTGCAGACATCAATGCAGCTATCAAATAAACAAAAGAAAAGACAAGTGAGACCAAGCTTTTAGGTTAAAGAATGAAACTTGAACTTGAATGGTGTTAAGTTTCAAGACCCTTTACCAGTAGGAGGCAATGTATCCTTGACAAAGACGAAGATAGCTTTCTCAGCACCAAGCTTGATTCTTTTGCGGACCACGTACACAAACTGACCAACGGTTAGATCTGCTGGGACGAGATACCTAAAACAAAGTGGAGAATCAAGCTCAATGTTAAACACTATGATAGCAAAAAAAGAGAGACTCAATCACAGTACTCACTTCTTCTTGTCAATGTCAGGAACATCACTTTGTCCAGCCTTCTCCACAATCACCTAAAGATGTTTCAGTTTCTAAAATTAGAACACAAAGCTTAACTTAAAGTTAACACAAGTGAGAGTGAATTCACGTACAGGGATTCTGTCAGGGTACTTCTCTCTGATTCGAGACGATTCATTCATCCTTGTCTCTGATCATCAACAAATCCAAAAAACCATCAATCACCATAATGATAATCTCAAGGGATAGATGACTAATTAAACTTGGTTTAGTCTTATCTGTATCCTTATTCCCTAAGAAGATATAACAGAGACATAAACATCAAATAAAGAATCAAGATCATAAGCAAAGGCTAATTCAAATCTTGATTTTTTATCGATAAGGCTCGTAATCCTACACGATCTGAAGCTATGGTGATAGATACTAACCGAGAGGATTAGAAAGCTTGAAGGAGGAGCTCTTAGCAGCCATGGCGACTCGATCCGACTCTGCAAATTTCAAGCACGCGAAGATCATGATTTCTAAATTACAAAACACGATCGGTGATTGAATTTGACTCAGAAGAAGCCTAGATACTTGAATTGAGAAGAGACTTACTTGAAGAAGAAAGTGTATGCGATTCGTGGAAGCTAGGGTTTTGCTGGGGGAAAAGAATCGATTTTTGATGGAAACTGGAAAGGGAAAGAGAGAAGTCAATATTGAGTATTTATATTAAATAAAAATCAATAATATGAGTAATAATTGATTTAGGGTTGCCTACACGGAACCTCGTTAACCACTTGGCTTGATTACTACTATTAGTTGATTGGGTAACAAGAAATCTAATTTCCACGTGTCTTACGACAGCACCGTCGATTTATTTCCAGCTTTTGCGCTGGACTGGGCCTTATTACAGGCTATATTGTTGGGCTGTTAAAATTTTCGTAGTGATAGAATGATAGCTTATGGCCCAATTATTATCACATACAATTTTAAGTTTTCAAAAGAAACAAAAAGTGTAGAATTTTTGATTCTAATGGGGGTAAATCTTTATTGACATCTAGAGTGATACCTTATAGAGAATTAGACAATCTTGTTACTTTTTCTTTTGATAATCTTATTACTTAAAACATTTACAGTGGCCAAATGAATCTCAAGAACTTTGGAAGGTGGTAATACTTAGTTTTTCACTCTAAATCCACATGACAACCAATCTTTCACGTAGCCGCGTTGCTAATTGCTAATCTATACTTGCTAGTTGCTAAGTAGAACTAAGAGTATAAATATGATTGAAGTATAGAACCAATACTTGAAGTGTGCTGAACTTTTTTTGATGAAAATTAAGCAAATTAGCTAGTTAAATTATATATGTTTATATAATATGATATGTTTGGTTTATAAATTGAACAAACTAACCCAATAGCCAACCATTCTAAATTTATTTCATATGATCGATTAGTACCGATATGAATAAACTGAAATTCATCAAAAACCAATGTTACTAATATAGTTTGAAAGAAACTTACGTACTATGGTAAACTTACCATATTTTAGTTAAGAAGATTAGTCTATGTTTTGTATTTTGAAACAAATAATAACAATGAACTGAACAATCTGAATTGATTTTTGCAAACTAAACAAATTCAAACAAAACATAATGAATTCCAGTTGTAAAAGAATTCCAAACTAAAACTCCAAATACACAAACGAAAATAGTAAAAGATTCCCATCCCCTAGCAGCACCATCTCTAGTTGCTAGGAACTTCTACAACATTAAAATGTGAAAGCTAATGAGTATTATGGCACGATCCCTTAACCTTATGTCGGACCAAAAATGTAAATATCATCCACAGTATTTTCTCTCTTGGTCGATCCCAAAATGGCGAGTGGATCTAGAGTTTTCATAATTTACTATCAAAGTTTCCAAAGGATATGCCATTTTCTCAAAACATTATAAAATCCTAAGCTCGTTACTAAACAGTTAATAAAAGACCATTGAGAACTACACATTAATTAAAGACAACATAAGAAAAATGATATGGGTCCCATGCATGGGCTCGACAAGTCATCCTCATCGTCATCATTCTTATCTAAAACATCCAAAAACCTAACAATAACAACAAAAGAAAGAGAACTCAACCATATTGGTAGTGTCATGATTCCCAACATGACGAAAACGACAATAACATTGGATATTTAAAATAAATCATGTGGATACCATAAAGTTTAGGTTTAAATTCATGATAATGATATGGTGTGGAATGGTAGTGGTTAAGAAGTTTATGAGATATTGATCTTGCGCCATACCATGACATAACTATGGTTGTGGTGATGTGGATGTGACGTTCGATTCCAAGAAACCTGTTTTGGTTAAGACATCATTTCTTGTCTTGCTGAGATCTCTTCCTTTGAGTGTTCTTCCAATTCCTTCACACATGGAGAAAGATGAGATCTGCGTTTTCGCAAGCATTTTTGCTACCAACTCGTGAGGAGGAACCATTGCATCTTCATCATCTTCTTCATCATGAGTGGCCCCTGAATGCAAATGGTTGCTTTTTGTTTTCCCATAAATCTTGGACCAGTCAGGAACATTCATTGGAGCAGATGACTGCTTTGCTCCAGAGACCTCCTTGCCCTTAGGAATGTACCTTGCAGAAGATGAAGAACCGGCTGAGAAGAGATTGTTACTTTTGGACATTTTCATTTCAGGACCTGGAGTTTCGGTTTCTCTAAGAACTGACCACACTTCTTCTTCTTGAAACTCTTCAGTCCCTTCCATTGTCACTCAAGAAAACCCTTGTCCTGAATATTTCTTCTTCTGCTACAGCTAAGTGGTATTCTTTCTCCTGAATCCATGAAAGTACTCCATCATTGTATCTTATAACCAAAAAGAAAGAAGAGAGAGAGAGAGAGAGAGAAAGAGGAGAGGGAGGGAAAAGGAGAGAATTAATTACCTGAGAGAAGCAGAGGAAGATTCAGTGAAAATGTGATGTATAAAAATGTGAACCATAACAACATTAAACAATCTCTCTTTGCTGGCAAATGAGAGACAGAGAGGTCATTGATTGCTTCAAAGGAATCAAAAGCCTCCACAATAGGCAGAGGTTTCATATAGATACAAAAGCTGTAATAATATCGTACTTTTTTGGGGGGTGCCATAACTATGAAGTAAAAAAAAACTAATAATTAAAAGGGGTTAGATAGATGGGTGATAGCCTTTGGTACTATTTCTACTAAAAACCTGCCAAAATTATTGATAAGAGTCTGATTCATGCAAGAAGACAAAAACAAAATGTACTATAGGAAAAGACTTGCTTTTATCTCAAACTTTAATTTGCTAAAGCCATCTTCAAGGAGGGAAAAATGTAAATTCACACCAAAGAGCTTGTGATATTATTATCTTTAATTAAATCATGTTTAAGCTCATTTCTTTTGAAGAATCTAATTATATGATTCTTATTACTGCTATGCAATTATGCATATGCATAGTTATTGAGCTGCAAAGAATATACAATAAAGTTTCATTATGATAAAAATAACTTTGTATTTGATCACACCAAAAATCTGAACCCCCGTGTCCGTACACACATAAATACATCAGTCTTTTTGGTGGGGTAAGAATCAAGTCGATTTGTAATTTCTGAAAAAACAATTTGTTAGGCTATCCAATCCAACGCTTCGTGGGTCTCCCTCGCAAGAGATGTTGTTATGCCAAACCACGATGCATTAAAAAGTACAGTTTTCAGATAAGGCCTCTAAATTTTTAAAAATTTGTTACCTAGCCCCTCTGATTTGATAAAATACAGATATGTACCCTTAATTATAAAGAAGCAAAGAACATATTTGTTGTTCCTTTGTAAGAAAACATATTATACACAGTAGCAGTGGCCCTGACTTACAAAGGACCAGAAACATATTTAAAAAAAATGACGATAATGACCCAACCAAGGGTTAAACTGATGTTGCTAGGTTCAAATTATTTTATAGACACCACTAAACTAAAAAATATTTTATCAGTAATTAGTCGAAACTTATATATATATATATATTTTAAAAGCCAAAAATCCATATTTCTAATGCTTCCTATCAGAGTCGGTACATAATATATTGTTAATTGCAGTACATGAGTTGAAGATGTTTTGAAGAAAGTGTGTGCTAGGACAAAATGTTTATAAAAAACATGAGTTGTTTAAATTTAGTTTGTTAACAAGTCAACTTTACTCACTGGATATACCTATATATATAAATCGATTTTCATCTACTTTGTGAAATTAAAAACAAGTCAATGTTCAACTAAGAAGTTGTCTTCGTTTCCAGTCATTATGATCGAGTGTGGTGTGAAAATACCACACAGGATATTTCTGTTAAAAACGTTTGAGGCTTGGTTGCACCAAATAATACAGCTTAACTGCTTGATTCTTGGATCCTTTAACCTTAGCTTCACGCTTATAAATAATTGTTGAGTCTAAAGACAATATTGAGCATCGAGAATATGAATGGCCGATAGATTTCTCTTTCAAGGAAGTGTTCACTAACCTAAGCAATTTGTCTTCAGTAATTTTTCATTGATGTCGCAGAGCTCTCCTTGTGTGTGAGAGAGAAAGTAACGTGTGAATCAGCGTATCGGGTTTAGACCGAAGACATAATCACACAAACATGTAATTTCAAAACAATAGCTCCACTTTATGGGATTGATACATCCCAATGATAGGCCTTGTGGATTTTTAATGGGCTTAGTTGGGTCTAAATGGCCTACAACTCTTACTTTTTCACGTTTCAAAACCTTTTTTCTAGGGTAGGATCAACTTTGGCAAAAGGGGTAACTATAGCCATTAGGGTGCTCAATTTAGGATGTCGAGCAACACACAGTTTCACAGAGTGCATCAATTCACTGTTGTCATTGCCAATGAGAAAACATAGTAAGTAGTTGCTGCATTTGTTTTGAATACAATGTATCATGTCTTCCATAGATAAAGTCTGGGATTTCACATGGTACATATGTAACTGTCATTAATACATCTTTTTAGATAATTTATTTACGAAAAAGTCTTTAAACGATAAACTGATAAGTTGGATAAGTTAGTTGACCATTGGGGAGGCGTCATGTAAACAAAATCATGTGCTGCCTTCAACTTTATCCGTTGGTAAACTTATTGGAAGTGTTGGTGTCATGTAACCTCTAATTAATTAATTTTCCTTGCATTTGTATAAAGAACGTATAGAGAGGTTTCACCTTTGGAGTGATTCAGCCTGTACAATAGATAAAACATACCTACAAGAAAATTGACCTCGTTTGGGGACTTTGTGCGATTAGTTAGACATGTTCAAATGGGGACTTTGTGCGATTAGTTAGACATGTTCAAAAGATCGAGTCTGTGTATGTTGCTCAAATATTTTAATTATTAGGATGTTAAAATGTCTCGAACTTCCAACGTGAGGCATTTTAACACTCTAATTAATATCTTTCAGCGTGACTCAAAAGTTATCACAATTGAGGACTCTATCAACGAGATCCGGCCACAACTTTGGGTGTTACTAGGAGAAAGACTGATTGCTGCGTTGACCCATCTATCTAGTTTGAAGTGACCAAGGTGATGATCAGTATGATTTTAGCAAGGTGTCCACAATCGTTATCATGTTCTTATATCAAGTTAAGTGATGCTCATAATCATATAGGTGTTCAGA